AACAACAAACCTACTGTCAAGTCAATTCTGACTCATAGTGACTATAGGACAGAGGAGAACTGTCCCCCTAGGGTTTCCAAGGAGTGGCTGGTGGATTTGAACTGCTGACCTATTGGTTAGCAGCCTGAGCTCTTAGCCACTACACCACCAGGGCCCTATTGCTACAGCTCCCTCTAAAACAAGATATATGACATACTAGACAAATATTTGATGAGAATACACTAGAAATGCTGATTCAATTTCAGATTCCCCACAATTCATGAGGTACTAAACACATACTTCATATACTTATGTCAGCATCCTTTATTATGTGGAGTATCTTAATGAGTTGATTTTTAAGCAACATTCTCCACTGATGTCCATTTGCTTGATATAAAAAAATCAGGCAATCTACCCAGAAGTCAGATACCAAGGAGGCCCAGAAAACATACTATTTCCCTGGGCTAATGGTCCCACTTATGAATCAAATTATTTGTAGTAACTCAATAAATCACATGGAATTAGTCTTTGAAGGTCTGCGTAAACCACATTTTTCTTTCATCTTTCCTAATTTCTTAAAATTAACTCTTACCACTACTATTACAGTGATTTGTTTTCCTAGTAATTCAAATACAGTAAACATTAACTGAAGCTACTGCAGAGATTTTCCAGTAAAAAAAACTGTTGATCTAAAAAATGCAGACTTACCTTTGATCCTCAATTTCCACAGAAGTAGCTAAATTAGATGTCACTGTGTTGTTGGGAGAATCCATTCCTGAGATAAATACTACAAGTTGTCCTTCAAATCAGATTGTTCTGTCCATCACCTGTTCCTTGCTCTAAAGGGTTAAGTTTCTGAAAATATAAAATTCAGTAAATGTGATATAGCTTCCCTGAATAAATGCTAACTTCAACATAGATATCAAGTATCTTCACAATGGAAAATTTAAAGCAGCAATTTATACCATTAACTGTGAATTTAGGCACGATCACTTGATTGACCAGGACTTTAAGCTTCTCATCTGGAAACAATTTCAAAACAAACTCTAAAAACGAGAAATTGCACCAACAGGTTCCATTCTGTCTTTCCAAATGTATTCAATGGTACAAGATTCCATCCAGAAAAGTACTGTCATAGCCAACAAAAGCATTCAACATCATTCTAATTACCAGTAAAAATTTTAATTTCACCAGAAGCCATTAGTAATATGCAATTAATAAACAAAAGATTATTTTCCAAGATCAGATAGGAATTCCTAAGTAAAACTTTAGATACAAAGCCAGAAGGTAGACTGCGGTTCACTAGGCCTCAGCATACCAGGAAAAAGTAATCACCACTTACACCTGGATCCAATGGAGCATGTTCAACACCTGGTCTGGAATTTCACTTATGGTCTCTTCACATTAAGTAACCATGAAACCTTTCTTGGTAAATGTTCATGATGTCTTCATGTGTAGAAACTGAAAGTTGTGAATTTTCATCCCTTTCAATGAAAGACTAAAACAGCTTACTAAAGGAGCCCTAGTGGCGAAGTGGTTAAAGTGGTAACTGCTAACCAAAACGTTGGCAGTTTGAAACTACCAGCGGCTCCGCAGGATGAAGATGTGGCAGTCAGTTTCCTAGAAATTTACAGCCTTGGAAACCCTATGGGGTCACTATAGTCAGAACTGACTCCAAGGCAGTGGGTTTTCTAGTGTCTTTTGTCTTTTTTGGAGCCGTAGTGGAGCAGCGGTTAAGAGCTCGCCTGTTAACCAAAAGGTCAACTGTTTGCATCCACCAGCCACTCCTTGGAAACCCTATGGGGCAGTTCTACTCTGTCCTATAGGGTCGCTATGAGTCAGAATTGACTCAATGGCAACGGGTTTGGTTTGGTTTTTGTCTTTTATTTTTTTTTACAATACTTCATATATAATACAATTGAAAAACTGAAATATTTCATAAGTTCATTTTCCTTACAGAATGCCATCATTGTCCTATTTTTTTATTATTTTAGTACACAGGGAGTCCCTCGGTGACACAAACTCTCAAGTGCTCT